TGGAGCCCTTTAACTGCGAGATTCGAAGTGAGTCTGATGACAGGCGTGCCAATCGATGGAAGTGTTCGAATTTTTTGTGCTAGCAAGGCATTTGTACATATTTATCCCTTGGTAATTACCGAAAAATATTAAGAATTTAAGTAGAATTTCCATCATGTACAACAAATTTTGTTTATTTTCGGACACAGTTTTTTTCCGTATATCGACAGTAATTCATAAGCGTCCTCATATGTCGAAGCGCAAGTTGTCTCAAAGCGCTCAAAAACGTGCAACCACTCCCTCGGGGGAAGTAAGAGTTCTATTAAAGGAAGCTCGCCCCGCCACGGTGGTCTAGTGGCTAAGGTACTCGGCTGCTGACCCGAAGGTCGTGAGATTGAATCCTGGCTTTGACGGCTGCATTTCCGATGGAGGCGGAAATGTTCTAGGCCCGTGTACTCAGATTTGGGTGCGCGTTTAAGAACCCCAGGTGATCAAAATTTCCGGAGCCCTCTGCTACGGCGTCTCTCATAATCAAATAGTGGTTTTGGGACGATAAACCCCACAAATCAATCAATTATATAAGGAAGCTCATGATCGTAATTTTAATTTGCTTCTGTACACCTTCAAGCAGGGGGGGGGGGTGTAAAGGCACGGGTGCATTGGCACCTTTTACCGGGTAAATGTGGGACCGCTCCTGCAGCACCCGGAGTTCAGAAACTTTGCATCCTTTCAGATTTCGTCCCCACATTTCTGCCATTTCTTGGATATTAATGGATAAGTAGGACACACACAAACTGGAAGCATGAGTCCCTACTCCTGTAAAAAATTAAGTGTATACAAGTTGCACGCGCTTATTTTATCTTTTCTTTGTGCAGGCAGAGGACCAACCTGCTTGCGTCGCAAAGTTTCGCAAGCTGCATGATTGCAAGGAAACTATGTGCGCCGTCTTAACAAAAGTGAATTGAATTCAATACGACCTGTCATACTCGCGATTGTTGATACGTAATTTTTTCATTGGTTCAGGTATTCTGGGTTCAATATAGGCTAATTGTGTTGTTATGTCAGTTGTAAACTAAACCTGTTTTTATAACTCAACACTTTCACACTAAGTTTGTCTGTATTTTTTATACAAACGTACAATAAAAAGTTTATTTCAGTTGTGCCAAACGAATTTCATGTTACTAAGAAATCAGTCTGCTTAAACTTCACCTCTTCAGGCAACACAAACAAAATTTTAAAAAGTATAACAAAATTTTAAGGCCACATTGGCGTAGTGGCCAGTAGACCCGAAAAAAGTCATGAGCTCATTTCGCATGCATGTGAAGTGGGAGAATAGGGCTTCTGCGACAACCCTCCTCCTCTCAATTTTGCGCCCTTTTTCTCTATTTGTAGACCGCCCCGCCGCGGTGGTCTAGTGGCGGCTGCTGACCCGCAGTTCGCGGGATTGAATCCCGGCTGCAGCGGCTGCATTTCCGTGGAGGCGGAAATGCTGTATGCCCGTGTGCTCAGATTTGGGTGCACGTTAAAGAACCCCAGGTGGTCGAAATTTCCGGAGCCCTCCACTACGGCGTCTCTCATAATCATATCGTGGATTTGGGACGTTAAAACCCACAAATCAATCAATCAATCAATCAATAAATCAATCAATCTATTTGTAGACATCACTAGCCACGTCATGTAAGAAATTTTCTGTTCATGATTTATTTCTGGGGCGCTTCCTGGCAACCGCCAGTGGTAAAAGCGGCTCTGCCACTGCCGAGAGCGAATTCATCGGAGCTATAGGGAGTTTCCGCCCAATAGTAGTCCTCTCAGATTTGCCTAAAGCGTGTTTTTTTTTTATTTGCAAGGCGTAACAAGCGACGTTTCCAGGAGACTTTCTACATTTCCTCGAGAAACCCAGCTTTCTTCCAAATTCTGTCGACTCAATCTATAAATGTCTGCCTTTTTTTTTTCGATCATCAGTGTAGTATACTTTTGTGGTCATTCTCTGAAAGGGAAAAAAAAACAAGATTTTCTTTTTGACACTGCATACACAATACAACTCAATTACATTTGAGATACCATGCAATAATTTTCAGGTAGTGTTACGGGAGTAATTACCTGAAAGTACGCAAAATAATTTTGTGACACTCTGAGAAGTTCTCAAGACAGTCTAGAAAATATCTTGTTTTTGGCAAGTATTGTCACAGTTACCGAATATCGGTCAGTGCTTCTCCAGGCATCATTGACTGAAATGGGCCGGGTCGGGTTGGGCCGGGCTCAAATATTTTGTGCCCGGACCGGCTACGGGCCGTTTTTAAAAACACCGGGCCGGGATCAGGCAGGCTGGAGCATGAACTTTCGGGCCGCGCCGGGATCAGGCCAAAAAAAAATGACTCATGCAGGGCTCTAACCTAGGCTTCCGGAGATCCTGCAACATTTTAATATGTCTGCTGAACCATAGAAATACAACCTAATATTTTTAAACTGCAATAACAGATGAATCAACACTGGAAGCAGTATTGACGTAAACTCGACGAGACGCCGGCAACAAAAGACTACGCATGTAATCTTTATATTCTTTAATGCTTTGTTATACACTTATGACTAGCTAGCATTGCAAACACAACTGACATTACACAGACAATGCGCCTGCATGCAGTGTTTTTTGGTATTGGCTCTGCCTTCAGTGTAGTCTAATTAATAAGCCGTTTGTATTTATATGATTCACCAAGTTATATTCATGCATTGCTTGACCCCCAGAGGGTACCGCTTTACGTACGCTTTACTTTACGAATGATGTACACATCATCGCAGCCTGAAGTGTACTTCGTATCAGTAATACTGATGTTTTAGCTCTAACATGACTGTAGAGTTTGCTTCAGACCACCAGTTACCCTTCAATTGCGAGTGTTGCCGACGTGCTTGGAAAGCCTGCAATGTTCGCAAAACTACTACACTTGCAAAGGCATTTCACTTCACCTCGTAACACTTCGTTCAAAGCTGATTAAAATGCAGCATCGATTCACTTGGTGACTGCTTCTCATAAAACCAATCCCCAAACCAATGCCCAGAAACAAATTTTCTTGTTTCTTGCTACCCTATCCAACCCACAGCGGGGTACCAAATCGTATATTGGCTGGTTACCATCGCCATCTTTTCGAAACATGTTCCTTTCTGTTCCTCTTGTTTGGTATGTTATTCCGTGTCCTTTCTTTACATTAAGATATTCTGTGTCCAGAAGTTAGAGTCAAGTGGCCAATTGCACATAATATTTTACGCTGTTCTTTATTTCACTCATCACATCATATCACAAAATTTGGCTATTTACGTATATACTGAGTTGGTTTTCTTTAAAGCTTGATTAAAAACATTGAGCAAGCGTGTACAATGGCAAATATAATGAAAGGAAAAAGGACGTAAGGCAAGTGACCTAAGTACGTAACACAACGTACAAAGAGCAGAGTGAAAATATACGTGATGCACTAAAGAACGTACAGCAAAAATGATTACGAGAAGAGCCCTTGAAGGATGCCACAGTGAAAAAGCGTGAACACATTATAAACGCTTGAATTTAAGTGATTTATACCTGTCCAGTGATTATTCAAAAAATGACTGAAGTTTGTCAAGAAACATTTCTGGGTTCCTTAATGTAGCGATACCATCGGAAAGGCTGTTTCACGAGGCAAGAACACGTGGAAAAGCAGGTCATTTATACGCTTTTGTAATTCTTGAAATTCAAACAAAAATCTGGCTATTATAGAGGTGCCTAGACGCGCATGCGACGTGCAGAAGCGGCAGGTGATGTCACTCATCATTGTATACATTCTAATGAACCATAGATGCCTTAGCGCCCACTTAACTGAAGCACATAGGTAAGATGCTAATGTCGGTGGAAATGAAGCATTCCACGACATGCTTAACAAAGAAATTGGGTAGAATGTGCAAGAACATTTCCTTCTTGATTGATTGATATGTGGGGTTTAACGTCCCAAAACCACTATATGATTATGAGAGACGCCGTAGTGAAGGGCTCCGGAAATTTAGACCACCTGGGGTTCTTTAACGTGCACCCAAATCTGAGCACACGGGCCTACAACATTTCCGCCTCCATCGGAAATGCAGCCGCCGCAGCCGGGATTCGAACCCGCGCCCTGCGAGTCAGCAGCCGAGTACCTTAGCCACTAGACCACCGCGGCGGGGCAACATTTCCTTCTGGGTAGTTGACCTGTTTCTGTATGTTGCGACGTTGAGGAGTTTTGGAAAGGTATTTACCCAATTTATACATTACGTTTGTACGAGCGGATTTTTACCGTGGCGCTACAGTGAGGTGAAAGTTGCATATCCGTGGGTTTTAATACTTGCTTTTACAACAAGTATGTTGAATGGACATAATATGCTCTGAAATTTAAGAAAAATACTACTAGAAAACAAAGCCATGCACAGTGTCAATATTTATGAAATTGAACATAGTAACGCGTTTGCTTGCGCGCTCCAGTGGCTGCTGGCAGCGTGTTCAAGCGGGAGCTAGTGTAACCTGTCTCCTTTTACGTCACCTCATCGTGAGCAAAAACCATTCGGTGCTGATATGGTTCCATCGGGCAAGATTACGACCCCCCCCCCCCCCTCGAAGCTGATTGCTCGAGAGCCGGTGATCGCCTTGAAGGGGCGGTGGTTGCCATTTTGCTAGCGGTTCCACATCGGCCCGGTCATCTTGTTTTGCTCGCCACGAGATGACGAGAGAAGAGAATGTGGTTGCTATTGCTCCCGCTTGAACGCGCTGCCAGATGCCGCCGGAGCGCGCAGGCTACGCGCTTCGCATGCACAGGCCTACAGGAAGACAAGTAAAAATGCAGTACGTATAGAAAAAATCACTCGGGCGCATCATACGCAGCGAACCATCAGCCCCAGTCCATCGCAATATAATCAGCACGCATGTTAATACAAATGTCGTCACGGCCGGAAATTGCTTCCCGGTACCTATCAGACATACGCTGTTGCTACCGCCGCCTATTTTTTTCTCCCTTTTGCCGGCAGTGCACCGCGCCGTGGCAGACAACACCTGTGGCAGGATGTGCACGGCACGTTTTGTGCGAATTTCATCTAGCCATGAGAATCGCATCCTGAGTTATACGTGCGTGCTTTGGAAACAAACGTCAGTTGGCCAGTCCAGCTTTTGTTTCATTTTGAAATAACATATCCGATCGTTCTGCAAAGATCCCTGCTGCAGATTGATTCATCAAAGGTGAGGCAAGTCTGCGTGGCTAGCACGCCTATGTTTTACTACGGTGTTGTGTTCTGTGAACGTGATATGGACTTGTTCTACTACTCGCCACAGTCTTGCTTAGGCCAACGTAAAGATTGTGTTGCGAATACGCACTTTTGTAAAGATCGAGTGTGAAGCAAAATGTTGATATGTGCTATCACTGGACTAATAGAAGAATTTGTAAAATGCTTCTTCTAAACGCGTTGTAGAGAAGGTTTCGTGTTTTATGATGATATCATAAAAAATGGAGGACGGAACAAATCAGCTCATCTTGTACACAGAATAGTATCTAATAATAACCCATAAGAAACAGCGCCTATGTGATGACGGCTTCAGACTCATTGACATACGTAATGTTGCACTATATGATGAGACGATATAAGGCTTCTTTATATGGGCGGCCTAATTCCCATGGTCTTTTCGCCCATTTACGAGTGTCAGCGTGATTTTGAGCTTCTGTGACCCACTCAACAGCGTCTGGGTAGCTTTTACATCACCTCTGAAACTTGAAATGAAAAAAAAATTTATTCACAAGATGTAATTATCTTGCGACGCATTTACAACTGATAAGGCTCGTGCAAAACACCTGATATATTATTGCTAAAATGAAGGAGCACATGCATTGTGTTCTGTCACGATGCTTAAAGTACAGGCGTAAAATATTTACGTTGAAGAAACGTATGCAGGGATTGTACAAGACGCCCTCTGTTTAAACTTTATTTTTTACCAACACGCTAACCTACTGTTTCGTTGAAAAACGTTGCTGGCCTTCACGAATGTCCAGGGTTGGCTTTCTTCAAAGAATGATTTTAAATAATAGGTGTCTAGCCAACAAAGTAGGCTTCCTAATAATGTTTTGGATACACGTCATTACGTGGGCAATATTCAATAAATTAATCATGTCAGAAAGAAAAGAAATGTGTCCTAATAATAGGATTTGTTAATTTGTGAATCGACTCATGTTTAATGAGCTAAGAATGCAGATTTTATATGCTCACCGATACCAAGTACACACTACATCAAAGGAGTGACAATACTTTCTACTAGTTACATGGTGGTCTTGTAATTTTCCTAACATCACTAATCGCTTCTGGAGTGCAAAAGTCGAAATAATCAGCCTTGTATATACCCGAATCAATTATTTCTGCGCGCATACAGTGGCTGCATGGATGAAAGAAATCAGCGCATTAATTTTATCCAAAACTTTATTATGGACATTTAGCTCTGAACAGGGGATGCATGTTGGCACTCAGACGATATGGACATCACTTGAGAGCCAATTGGCCTTGTCCACGAGGCGTTCTAGGTGACAATCTCGTCAGATAGTAGCGTAAGGAAGCGAGAAGTAACGCACACCCGAACAAAGGCTTTATGTGCAACCCGTTGGCCTCTTCTCAGTTGGACACGTCTTCACTGCCCCTTGCTGTCCAGTACAGTTACCTCTCCCGGAGAAGAAAGAAGCCGTCCCGGCTACTTATGGGTAGCAGAGCCCCTGTAAGTTGCCGGCGGATTGTATGAACGCTTTCAACGTTTGACATATACACTTTTGCGCTACCGGTGGCGCTTGTCTGAAGGTGGTTCTAAGGGTTCAATGATATATTTCACACCAGACGTTTGCTTTAACACATTGTAGGAACCCTCGCACTTCGAAGGAAGTGTTCGTGAAAATACAGGGCATGTGGCAGTGACCCAAAGCCATACTAGCAAGCCAGGATCATAAGATGCAGGGTGACAGCAGGATCCCGGCAGTGCTTCTGACATTGCTGGTCCTCAGATGTCAACATGCGGGAGAGCTTGCGGCACGCTTCTGCGTGAGAAGCTGGTTCATACAAAGGTGCAGGTTCTGTGGCATTAGTGCTATACAGAAGAATAGTGTCCATGGTGGAGGATGACTCACGCCCACAAAGTAGAAAGAAAGGGAATAATCTCGTGGTAGCCTGCGCGGCTGTGTTATAGGCATATGTGACAAATGGGGGCACATGGTCCCAATTGGTGTGGTCAGACGTGACATACATGACCAACATGTCGCCAAGAGTTCGATTAAAGCATTCCGTCATCCCATTAGTATACGGGTGATATGCAGTTGTCGTGCAGTGAATGATACGGCATTTTTCGAGGAGAGCTTCAATGTCGTCGAAAAGAAACACTTGGCCTCGGTCACTGAGTGATTCTCTTGGGGTGTCGTGGTGCAGAGTAAACGAAGAAACATTGCGTGAAGTAGTGCTAGGTAAAGGTGAAGTCTCTGCATAACGTTTCAGATGGTCGATAGCCACGATCACCTATCGGATGCCGTCGGGAGTGCTTGGTAAAGGACCAAAAAGATGAATTCTTGCACAATCAAATGCAAGTGTTAGGCAAGGGAAAGGCTGTATTGGGGCAGCTGAATGGCGAGGAAGATCTTTGGGACGTTGGCACGCGATGCAGGAGCGTACACAGTGACGGACGAAGCGGTACATGCCACGCCTGTAATAGCGAAGGCGTAGGCGTTCGAAAATCTTAACTACACCTGCATGCGCGCACTGTGGTTCATCGCGAAACGTCGCAAAGATGTCCTGGAACAGTGGCCGAAGAACGTCGTCCGTAAGGTGATTGCGGCGGTATAAAAGTCCATCGCGAACGAAGAAGTGGCGTGCTTGGCGTCGTAATGCCCGGCTAGCAGGAGGCGTCGTAATGCCCGGCTGGCAGGAGGCGTCGTTGGCTGTTGCAGAAAGATGACTATAAAAATATTTCATGGGCCCTTCTTCTGCTCGAAAGCCATGTTGGTAGCGGAGAGGGAGGACTCGGTTAGTGGGGTATAGGAGAATCGGTTTTGCCATGTAGTGGGGAGTGTGACAAGGCATCTGGGTCGGAGTGTTTCTGCCGGAATGCTAGAGCACGCAAATGTTGTATTCCTGTAGCCGAAACGCTCATCGAGCGAGACGACCTGAAGGCTCTTTCAAGGAAGAAAGGCAGTATATGGAATAATGGTCTCTTATTACGTCGAACGGGTGGCCATAAAGGTATGGACAGAACTAAGTTATGGCCCAAATTATCACCAGGCATTCCTTTTGTGCGACTGAATAGTTAGTTTCAGTCTTCGTCAGAGCACGACTGGCAAAAGCAATGGCCTAGTCACCGAAGCCAGCTTTTCGTTGAGCAAGGATGGCGCCAAGGCCCTCACCTCTGGCGTCTATCTGTATTTCTGTCGGTGCGCTTGGGTCGAAATGCCGCAGGTTCGGTGTAGAGGTATGACATAGCGTTTTAAACATGGCATCGGAATGTGGTGACCAGGTCGAAAGGTTGTGGTCAGCACAAAGTAGCTGTGTGAAAGGGGCTATTGGTTGCAAAGTTGCGTATAAAGCGTCGAAGGTATGAACATAACCCGAAAAAGCTGCGAAGTTCTTTCAGGGCTTCAGGTTGTGGAAAGCTAGCGGTAGCTTACAGTTTCGATGGATCAAAAAGTACCCCGTCTTTTGTCACGACATGGCCTAGAATGACCAGCTGCCGAGAAGCTAAGTAACATTTCTTCAAGTTGAGCTGAAGGCTGGCGTTGGCGATGCATGTGAGGGTGCGTTCGAGCCGAAGCAGGTGAGAAAGAAAGTCTGGCAAAAAGGTGACAAATTGGCCAGGCAACAAAGGCAGATTTACCACTGGAGCCCCCACAGGATGTTATCCATCATCCTTTTGAATGTGGCAAGCGTATTTCTTAGGCTAATGGGCATGTCAGTAAGCTCATATAAAGCATCTGGGGTAACGAAGACAGTCTTGGGGCGGTCTGCTACCGCCACAAGACCTGCCAGTAGTCGGATCGTGAATTGAAGGACGAGAAAAATTCTGCGCCTTGGTGACAGTCTAGCGCGTCGTAAATACGACAAAGTGGGTGAACACTCTTATGGGTTATGTTGTTGAGACGATGGTAGTCCACATACAAGTGAATGGTGGCATCTTTCTTTTTTACCAACACTACAAGAGAGTCCCAGGGACTCTGCGAAGGTTGTTAACACCACGTTCAAACATATCTCCTATGTGCTTGTCGATCCCACGGCGCTTCGTTGCGGACACACGATATGGCCGTTGACGGAACGGTGCGTGGTCTGCAGTGTCGATGTGATGAAGAACAGTGCAAGTGTGGCCTAAGTGAGCTTGTATAAGGTCGGATGATGTACCAAACCAGTCGAAGAGCGCGACCAGCAGAGCTTGCTGGTTGGGTGCGAGATTAAGGTCAATGCAGCGAGAAAACGGTAGGTCAAGTGACGGCTGCGCAGGAAGAACATCAACGTTCACAGCATCAACCTGTAGAGGAGTGGAGTCATCAATCACATGATAGACAAAGCTTCGATCAAGGTCGTCAGCATGACCAAGGCACTCATCCTCGTCCAGGTTGACTGAAGCACGGAAACATGTCAGAAACATTAAGTGCGCTCACACTGTGTGGAGTAGTAAGAAGGGCAAAAGGAATTAACAAGTGGCACGGCGAGTAGCAAGCTTAGACGGCGTGAAAAGAACGGTATTGTCGGAAAACGCCGCGCCGGAGATGGGAAGAAAAGCGGATCAGAAAAGAGAAATCGTACTGTCCGTGGCCACCAACACTTGAGTAAAAGCGGTTGAGAAATCTTCTGCAATGTTGCCACCGAATGGAGACAGCGAAAGTCCTTCGTGGGCGCAATCGATAACGGCATGATGGAATGAAGTCCCACCCCAAGGTTACGGCAAGAGAGCATCGAGGCAGAATGACGAACTCAGTGTAGTAAAGAGCGCAGTTCTTCACTCTGGAACTGCGTTCGTTAGATTTCCTCTTGGGGAGCTTCACATTGGCGGATGAGGGGCGATGGGGTACGCCGACGAGGGAATGAAGACCCCCATGTGCTTAAAGCTGGGAAGCAGCAGGCGCGGCGTCGAATGGCTGAGCGCCATTATTAAAGCGGAAGACATAGTCTGGACCAGAGCTTTGTGGCTGCACAGAGCCGGGAGAATACAATGAAGGTCGGAGGCCAAACCGTGATACGTGACCAGCACAGCCACATGAGAAACAGATGAGCCGGTTGTCAATGGTGTGCAACGGGTTGAAAACAGGAGCTGCAGATGGAGCAAAATATTGCTTCACAGGGCGAGGAGGCTGCGATGGTGGACAGCACGCTCTTGGTGTGCAGTTTGAAGCCGCGGGTACAGGTGAAGAAGGGAAGGTGGTCGCAGGCGCGTTTGAAACTGTCGGAGAGGGTGCTCTCGGCCTAGCAACGACGGCAGCGCAAGTTAGCGGAGCTGTCACGGAAGCGGTTCATGAGCAAGAGGTGCGAAGCCTGCCACTTGCCCCGCCGCGGTGGTCTAGTGGCTAAGGTACTCGGCTGCTTACCCACAGGTCGCGGGTTCGATTCCCGGCTGCGGCGGCTGCATTTCCGATAGAGGCGGAAATGTTGTAGGCCCGTGTGTTCAGATTTGGGTGCACGTTAAAGAACCCCAGGTGGTCGAAATTCCTGGAGCCCTCCACTACGGCGTCTCTCATAATCATATGGTGGTTTTCGGACGTTAAACCCCACAAATCAATCAATCAAGCCTGCCACTTACTCCTGTGTGACCTGCCGGATGTCAGGTGTCAAGAGCGACTCGGACGCTTGGGTGACTGGCAGAAAGGACAGCTGAAGTACGACTTTTCGTATGAATCACTTGACTTCGTCAAAAAACGAGTCGAAGGGGGCAGTCCAGTAAAGCCTAAGTCCAGTCCTTGCTGTTCAGTACTGCCTACATTTCTGCAAACCAAGAAAAACTTGTCTTACATAATCCACCGTAGCCGCTAGCTACCCGCCGTAGTGTCCTATCACGGCTAAGATACGGCCCGCATCGACGTAGGCGTGCCTTAACGTTCATCGTGGCCTCAATGTATGGCGGAGGCAATGCAATAACACTCCTGCACCTATTTGTTGGAGCACGTGACGAAACTGCAGGTGCTTCACATTTTCTGCAGTTCCCTCTGAGGTGCGTCTCATAGCCATAACAGGGTTCTTGTAAGCTAAACGACAAGTTTAATTCTGTTGTTTAGATAATTGACAGCCCTTGCTGCTTTAGTTTATTTCGCGACACTGCCTCGACATATAACTGGAAAACAGAATAAAGGGTTGGCATATGCCGCACTATTTCACTAGGCCTCCGCCACAGCAACTGAAGCCTGTAGTAGGGACATATAGCGGACCAGTTTAACGGCCCAGTAAACTTCATTCAACGAACGTCAATAAACAAGCTCTTTAGTTACAGAAGCACTACGGAACCTAATGGTAATTTTAGTATAACGAAATGCAGCGCGTAGAACACTTCAGTTCGAGAAAAATATCCTGTGACAGCATGCATTGCCTCCCACTGCATTTCAAATATTTCAACAGGTAAAGGTACACTTTTTGTGCCTTGGTTTTACCATAATCTTCGCGTTCAGCTCTGACGAGGGCGACTCGCCAGAGCTCATTGCGGAGATAATGAGTTTACGATGACAATGCGCTTCAGTTTCACCTCACAAAATGTAAGCCCCA